TAAGTTCCAAGACAGGGAGGTACGGGGCATCTCTCCATGCTACTGATCTGACTTGAGTTTTTTTTGACAAAAATTGGTTTTTTTGGGGGGGGGGGGGGGGGGGCCTTAAGTAGAGTTTTGTTGTTGAAAATAGAAAAACTATATTCAAATAAATATTACCATTGTTCGGTGCCTTCTTCTTGATTAACAAAATGAACTTCAACTACTTTGTCGATTACTTCAGTTTTAAATATTTGAATTGTTTCTTCTGGCCATATTGTTTCATTTTCATTTTGTGAACGAGGAAAAGCCTAGAAGATACAAAAAATATTTTTCATTTTTATTTTTCTTATGTATTTATACTTCTGATAAACTACAACCAATAGCTTGTGCTGGTAAATCAGTAAATAATTTATGAATTGGAAAAAATTCATTTATAGATTTAATTTCAATATTTCCAAAATCAACAAAAACAATTTTTATTTGATCATGTCCTTCACTTGTTATTAAACGTGCTCGATACCAACGATTATCTTCACTATATTTAGCAACACCAAAATCGCCAATAGCAATATTTTCTAATGGTATTAATTGATTTGATATTTCTAAATCATTATAATAATTACTATAGAAAAGAAAAACAAAAGAGAATTTATGATGATGATGATAATTTTTATTTGATTTTAATTTACTGAAGTTCATTTTGCATTTGAATAAATCTATCATATACTTTAGAATCAAGATTTTCAACATAAAATCCTGATAATGAATCAATAATATCGATTTTTGCTTGTTTCCATTTTATACCAGCTGGAATACGTTGTAATTTAATTTTTTCTTTACCACCTGTAATGAACAAAACATTTTATTTATATATCAGTTTAATTTTCTTACGAGGTACATAATGCTCTTTATAATTCAAGGTCATTTGACTAGTTGAAGGAGTTACGAAAGGTGAAGTAACATGATTCGATTGTGCTGGAACTGTATTATAGGATGGTAATGTTGGACGAGCCTATATAGAAATATTGATTAATTATTATTAAATAAAATCCAGAACGAACTTAATGAATATGAAAAATTGATTTTAGCTTATCTCGAACAATAGTGCGCATGTTCGATTAGTTCAAGGACCATCGATATTTTTTCTTTTTTTTTGCTGTAAAGTCATAGGGTAACTAAAAGAATATGTTCGAAGACTAATTAATGTACATAATAAGGAGCTCAGACAAATAATTCTATTTTTTCATTGTTACAAAATCTTATCTTTTGGTTTGGTTAGAAACTTAAATAAGCCTTCGAAGATTTAGGGTTTTGATTCATGAAAACGATCGTACTCACAAAACATATTTTGAAGTTCGATTAGAGTTTGTGTTCGCTCACTTCCAGGTGCTTTCTACTGAGAAAAGTCTTAAAATATTTTGGAAGGAAAGTGCAATTGTCTCCAATAAAACCGTATTGTAACACTTTTAATGAAATTTTCTAATCGGAATTAGATAATTATCTCGACGATACTAAATACTTTTTTTTCTGGCTTTTGTATTTGATAATATACGTACTCAACATATTTCTCAAATAACTTGAGTCCGTCAGATCCTAAGTTCTCAGACCCGAATTCGACGGGGTCCAGACACAACCCAAAGGATTCTATTCCCTTCTCTAAATCTACTAGTCTATCTACTACTAGGAGAAATGAATAAAATTACATTATGAAGTCCTTTGTTTGCTGGATAAGAATTGGCATTGTGTGGATAGATAGGTGATTGTCGTGCTGTACTTTCTAAATTATTTGGTGATGGTTGATGTATTACTGGTTTAAAACCAGGTTTTTCTTCAGTACTCAATGTTGATAAACGATCAGATATTGTTTGTTGTGGTAATCTTATTACAGGCATAGGTAATGTTGGTTGTTCATTAAATTTTCCATTTGGAACAAATGTTTGTTGTTTAATTAATGAAGGTGTTGCATGACGAACATGATTTAATGACATATTTGTTCCTAATTGATGTGTTGATGTTGAAAGAATATGTGATTTAGGATCAATACGAAGAATTTGTTCAATTAATAGATCAACTCGACATAATGCTAAAGAAAAAATAAATCAAATTCAAATAACAAAAAAAAAAAACGAATTTCTAGTTTTATTTTTTAAACCTTCAACAGCTTCAAGTGTTAATTCATTAATACGTTGTGTTTTAGGTAGAAGAAAATCATATGAAGATGATGGTTTCATTTGAATTAATTGATCAAGTATTATTTGACGACGATATTGCCATATATCAATTTGTTGTTCAATAGAAGATGCTATTTTTGATATATATTCTTTTGCTTTATCATAAGCAACGGATAATCGACTAAAAAAGTAATATGTTATATTTTTAAATTGACTATTTTTTTTTTTTTTTTATAATTAATCTACTTTATCTCATCGACAATCATTGTTGCAGACGATTCATATGTCATGATCGATTAAATAATGGTATATAACTATTGATGTAAAAGAAATAGAAAAAGAAAAATACCCAGTTTTATATAAGAATGAAAACAAATTTTGATGTCAGATGTAAAAACATCCTGCACATGTTGGATTCTTGAACAAACGTTTCAAATAAAACATGGAGAAGATTAATAAACCTATGAGAAAATTTTACATAGAGGACGAAAGAATTATTTCTTACGTTAAATATAAGAATTTCAATTATAAATTCTATTTTCGACAAATATTGTCGCTAATAGTACTATATATAGAAAAAAAGATATTTTTTAGTCTTATAAAGAATTTTTTACGTGTAAAACTGTTAACTTTTCTTTAACATATACATTATTTTAGTTCATTTCTTTTAAATTAAGTTAATCGACATTTAATTTTGCATATAAGCATCTATGAAGAATAAATAAAAATAACTATTATAGCTAATACAAGTTGAGATAATTTGGAAGCAACCACATCGGGATTGTATGCATAAATCTTTATAACTTTTTCAGTGGAATTGCGTTTCACAATGTTTCAAACAAAAGGGAAAAAGTAAATTTCAGCGTATTCTAAGGATATGTCAAAGTTATCCTCTGGAACTTTTTAGTTGTTTCAAGTCGATTATCAGCGTATGCCAGGAGTGTCTGAATGTCATTATGGATCTTCTCCTTAGACTTACACTTGCACTCAATGTGGTTATTCATCCTCGTTGGTTTTTACAAGATATGAAGCAGAATACTTACACTCGGAAATATCACGCTTAACCCTTTACCCCCCATAGCGCTTCCAGAAGAGCCACTGATAAAATAACTTTATAAATAGAGTATTAGCCTATTGAATATGCCAATGGTGCGGCCTAATCCATCGANAAAACAAATTCGAGGAAGCTATTTCAACAGTATTTTCAGGACAAAATATTAGGTTTGTTCGAGTCAAATGAAAGAGGATCCCCAATAACCTCCAGATCGACCTAAATAAGAAAATTTTTAAAGTAACAATCTTGACATATAGCCAGAACCACTCTGGCAAGCACTTACTTTCGACACTGATTTTATATGGGAATCTCACATAATTTTACTCGGTTATACATATATATCGTGGCATTAAACGAAACGTTGAATGAATAGCAAACTTTTCTGAAATCGGATTAGTGAATATAGAAAAGCTAATAGCGAATCAGATCTAGACAGGGTTTTTCTTGTCTATTGTAGGGGTAAAACATACCCATCTTCGGATCAATGTGGGATTTTCGGAGTCTCCCTTCATTCAGTCCGCATAACCTAATGCTTTGTCCTGAAAATTGTAGAGAAATAGCTGTCTCGAAGCTGATTTGGCGAAATCAATAGCCTACTGTCAACCAGTGTTCAGCAGAGTGTCTTCTTGCATTCTTGAAAAAAATACGTATCCTCAAGCCGATGGTCCTCCAGTTTTGGAAACGATATGTTTTCACTTCAGTTGCTGGAAAAATCATTGGATTTGGTTAGGAAATTGCAGGATTCGAGTTGAATTGGCGGAATTTTCCTTTTGGAAGATGGAAGAAATTTCGTGATGGGTTTCGCTTCAGCTCCTGTGTTGTTCCGACAGGAAACGGCCGGAAATGATCGGGAAAAATCCGCGGACTTCTGGGCGGAATGCTGCTTGTATCTTTCGGCAATTCTCCGGTCGGAACAAGCCCGATTTTTTCCACCTGGATGGTGACATTTTCGAAAATTTTTGGCTCTAAGGCTACTTTTTTTATTGCATTTTCTTGCCATTTTTCACATGGGATCTCTAGAAATTTGTAGCGGATTCGTTGCTGTGTTGTGGAATAGTTTCTAATGCTTGTGCATTTTATTGATAACCTATAGTCTATTATCCGAAATCGGAGAAAAGGAGACAGCTCTGAAATTCTTGAATTTCATAAAAATATTCCATATAGTAGAGGGCAGCGCTCGCAACTTTCTGTCGACTTTATGGATATGGAACGATTGTTACTTGGCGACATCTATAGCTGATTGCGAAAACTTCTTATTTATATTATATAGGAGGAGTTTAGTTAACCATCATAAAGCATTGCATACGATTACTGTAAACGGCCACTGAAATCAGCCACCGTCATCTGTCGTAATTTGTTGGTGTACAGACGTGTATGGTCGACCATACTTGAGCTAAATCACAAGAAAAAATCCCTGAATGTTACTCAAGAATCTCAACGAAAGCCTTATGGGTTTGTGAAGTCAAGTGCCCTGAATTCAAATCTAAAAGATTGCCGACTGAAGTTGTTTCGATAAAGAGTTAGGATCAAAATATTTGAGACATGTACATAGCAATACACTGTGCCTCTAAAGAATGTTCTTTTCACTTTTGTTATTAAGCAAAACGAATAATATAGTTGCAATCAATGTAAAACAATTGAGTCAAACGAGGCAAAATCCAGCAAGAGTTCTTTCGATCAAATATTCATCTAAGAAGATCACAAGTCTAATTTTATTTAAAGTCCTCTTTGGATAAATTTTTATTCGAAAAACAAAACTTGCTGAATTTTATCTCATTCGACCCGGCTTTTATAATGATTTCAAATATGACATTCATTTCGCTCAATAACAAAAGTGAAAAGAAAATTTTTTTAGAGAAACAGTATATTGCTATGCACATGTCTCAAATACTTTGATCTAACTCTTTACCGAAATCGTCTCAGTCAATAATTTTTTAGATTTGAAAGCAGGGTACTTGACTTCACAAATCCATATAGTTTTCATTAAAATTCTCAGGTAATACCGAAGGATCTTCCCTTATCAAAACCGGTGCTATTTGACGAAAATCGACATGTTTTTGAAGGGAGGTCTTAATGCATAAAATTATGGAATATGTGGTCTAATTAAAGTAGATATAATGGCCACAGCTTCTAACAGGATAGGGTACGTTCTAGGGCATAGCAGAGCAGGACGGGAGCAGGAAACAAAAAAAAGTAAGTTTTCTTGTATAATTTTTGCTAAAAATTGTCAACATTTTTTTGAAGCACCAGACCTCAGAGATATTGTCAATAAACATTGCTTTTTAAAAAAGTAAGTACCCAAATAACATTCTGTTAGCGTCGGAATGGATTACACCCGACGCTAAACGGAGATTAGATGTACTTTCTAGTCTAAATGGCTTAGGATGTCTGCTTGAATAGCAGAGGGTGCATGAATTGAATCCCGTAAGGAAATTATTTTTTTTCTCCCTTCTGTTGCAGTCCATCACGCTGTTAGTCTCACATGAGTCGTAATAGCGGACTCTTATACATTCGATTTGTTTGTGTATTTATAAGTTGTAATTTGAGTTCATTGTGAATTTCACCAAGATTGTCATCGAAATTAAACAAGAAGATGGCTCACTCCGAAGCCCATGGTTTTAAGACTCACGATTCTGCCAATTCTATCATTTCTTAGTGACATTTTATTCGTGTCATTGTTCGAAACAATTATCCCCTCATCTCGACCATGTGCGTGTGTCAATTTCCGAGTCTTTCAGTGAAATGATACATAAATCAGCATCGCGAGTCTTCTCGAGGCGGTTCTATACATAAATTTTTCGTTTCATCAATATGTTTAAGAATTCTCGCAGCACCTACAGCTACGAGTCTTAAAACAATGTGTTTTGAAATCGGCTACGTTGTTTAAAGCTTTCTTAAAAGCCATTGAAATTCTTCATCCTCTCTTAATCTTGCTTTGCCGCGCCTTGTAGGATATGACATGGGCCAGAAACAGAACAGCGAAAATAGGGTACAGGGCAAAATATTTTACCCTGTTGGTGCCTTCGATCTCGGCATATTAACGTTTTGTCGTATTAGTCATTGCAGTTATTCAAAAACTTCTTTGGTTTACACAATTAGAAAAGAATTTAATTAGTATCAGATCTGATGAACATGGGTTAAGAGAAATAAGTCGTTTCGAAATTAGAGTCATCAAAATGACCAGCTTCTCGATAAACTATGATAAGAAATTCTAGATAATAGCGTGGACGAAAAAAATTCATTATAGTAATAAATAGAAAAATGATAACGTTTTTGATTTCATAATTAAAAGCCACTATTTATTTTTACAAGTTGTATTTGAGTTCATTTGGACTTGCTGCACTTTTTGGCGAAATGAAGCATTTTATGATTATGTACATTCTTATTTGTAAAACATAAGTCTTATTTATCTTAGTTCTAAATTACAGAGTCTTTCTTCTGATATTACCTGATATAGATCCGGTTGAATTCGTTGTTGTTGTTGCGTTGTTTGCTAAAATCAATGAAACACATTGATCAATAAGCTTAGTATTATAAGAATCGAACGAAAAAAAAAAATGCTAATTGTCTCGGAAATTATGACAGTTGTATGGTTAGTGACTGTAGACCTCAATGAGACTAACAGATATTTTGAATGGTTCGAGCTCATGGTCTTTTTTTCCCGATAACAGTGTTGATGGATGAAAAACAGAAGATGAACAAAATATTCTAGTCCTTCAAGATCGACTGCATTCACTCAACTTACTGTTCAACCATAATAAAATGTGTCTCAATAATCTTTCGAAAGGATTCTTTCTCCTCTGATTACCACTGCAATACGATCTATTGTTCTTCTTTACCTAACTTACTTGCTTCTTTGTTCTGTATTAGATTCGGACCCTGTTCTATCAGGTTAACTCAATCAAGATTCAACTCACGAGGAAACATATTCAGGTGGTTATCGAATTTTGAGCTGGTACTTTGCCCATAACTAAGTCTCAGTGAGACTTGAAAAACTGTAAAAGCATTTGTGCTGCTAGCCATTCTCTGCCATGTTAAAACCATTTTTCTGGGATTTCGACCCGTTCAGGTCAATCAATGATAAATTTTCAGAGCATTATTCGAAAGAAACTTTGACTGTATTCAATTGTAACCTATTTCGTACGACGAATAACCTTCCAACAAGTACTCTCATTTTTTCGTCAAAGAATTCAATTCATTTCAAAAATTTAATTACATAGGATATGTAGTGGGTTCTGTTTACTGATTCATACGCGACAAATTTCACTTTCTGTTACTATTTTACGATGATATCTTACTTGCGGTCGAGGTTGCACTGGATGTAGCGTTGTTAGTTGTTGAAACTATGAGTTATTGTTAATTCAGTTATTAAGCAAGAATTAAAAAATTCGTTCTCTCACTGGTTGAGGCATTTGAGGTGGTACTATTTGTGATACTTGATGTAGAACTAGTTGAGTTGGTTGATGTGCTACTAGTTGATGTTGTCATTGTTGTCGTGCTACCTTAAATCAACAATTCTGTATTATGAGAATGAAAGATTAGAAATGATTTTTTTTTATTGCTAATTAGCAAATTATCAGTACTAATAGGCGAAAATCAGGATATCTATAAATCCTATGTTCTCGAAAATGATGATAGCTAACGAAAAATATTGATACAACTTCGATAGTCTCGTTCCACCATCTTCTGTATGCCCTTCTTGCAACAGTCAACTTTCACCAGCTTTATCAATTTGAATTTTTAAGGGAACCGTGTTGTAGCCATCGGCAAGTATCACAATAGACTGAATCTGAGAAAATTTATTATACACATCTTGAAAATGTCAAAATATTACAAGAGAGTAACGTCTTGCTTATAAATATAAAAGTCATCATTGGTCAATTCAATGCGCTTCTAACATTAGAAAATTCTGCATACAATTTTTGAACTCACTTTGCTGAAAAACACTCATCATTCAAGTGTACTTGACTGTGATGTTATATCCGGTCGGATATGGTCACGAAATTATTTCTCTCGATTTCAAACAGTGACATAGAAATCGAAACATATTTCAGTCGAAAATATTTCCGGTTGATTGAACAAATGACGAAAAAATATATGTTGTATTCGTTTTAAATATGTACAAGAATCAGAAGAGAGGTTAAAAGAACTTCTGATTACAGTTAACAAAGACAGACTTATTGAGACATTTTCGAATATGTTGACATCACTTCTAATATGTATTTCCTAGGGTAATTGAAAAAACTTTTAACAGAAGCTATATATTATTGTCAAACTAAAAGGAATTTCCTTTCGACATCAAAGTATTCTGTGGAACTTTGAAAGCTTTGAACACTCTTATAAATACGGGAACAGTTTCTATGAAACTTCAAAAAATCCTTGAAATATCCAAAAATTTGTTTTAGAGACAATGGCATTCATAATAGGAGCTGGACACCGCCATCCAGGTTGGATGAAACTTTTTTTCGCCCTATTCTGTGTTGCCTTGCGGAAAAAAGGACAGAACGGCAGGGCCAAATGTTTGCTCTGCTGAAATTTGATGACAAAATAGCATTTTGCGACGAGATCATTTTCGTGGAAAATGTTTCGTTTGAAAACAAGCACAAAATGTATGGTTGTTTTCAGTCTACTGCTTCATATAAAAGTATGTCTTTTTATATGATAGTATTTAATTAAAATCTATCTCTAACAGAGCGAAGAGAAAGAAAGTTTCAATAGAAAACAATGTGAAAATAAGTATTTTTTGTATCTTCAATTTTTTTTCCCAATTTGAGATTCAAATGTGATTTTGTCAGAATACTCATCAGTCATGGCTTATACGACTAGACAGATATCAGCAATTTAAATACAATGAGAACAAACTATTCAAGTTTTGATTGTTTAATTTCAACTACAGTTTTCAGGACACATCGAGATTTTTTGCAGTGTGAAACAATACTCCAAATATTCAAGAAAGTTAGAATAAACCCTCTAAAATGATAGAAAAAATTAGAAAAATTCACCGTTTTTGTACAATTTCGGGTCGAACTTAATACAGACTAAAAATTGGAGTCTTTTTTTCCTTTTGAAGAAAAATCATGACTTCCTGACGTTTCTATTTAACGAGAGGGAAAGTATGCATTTTTTTTCGTTTGCCAATCGTTTAGTTATTATAATGATCGATATGGAATTTTAAATGAATAGTATTTGATGACAAAAAAGAATAGTGGTTCCATTTGAAAAGCATAGAAGACAAATCGTACTTAAGGGAGAATAAACTTTTCAGAAGGGTAACTTCGGGTCCCTGAAAAAATGAGGTCATCGGTAAAATGATCCGCAGTCTTTCAAAACTCAACCAATTTAACTCATATTTGGTGTACTAAAAGCTTCATTGACTAGTTACAAGTTGATGGGTGAAACAACTAAAAATCCTTTAGTTCTTATGAGAAACGGTAATCGAAAGGAAGATAAGGTATAACTCTGGATATCTTGGGATACAAATCCATTCGGACTGCACTTTGCATCGATGATTAGAACTCGCTAAGAAAGGTATTTTGGCAAAGATTCAGCCGACGGGAGAATGAGAAATTCGAGATTCAGTGTCTCGGACACTTTTGATCAATACTGTATCTTACCTGTCCCGGCAAACTGTTCATCAGTAATAATTCTTTGATTAGTACTATCTGGTAATACCCAATCGTTGACTTGTAAACAATCTTTATATGCTGTATATGCACTAAAATTATTCTGCATCGTATTTCCGTTCATACCACCAAATATAGCCCAATCTGTTTCTTTGTCTATATTAAAATAAGGTGCCATTTGAATCTGAGTACTATTCATATAAGCACAAAATTGATTTAACCAATCATTTTTCGATTGTGTATCCGAAATATTTCCTATACGTTTACTTGTTGTTCCATATTCACTTATACATAATGGTTTCGTTGACGATAAAAGACGTAAACGGCTAATCATATTAGAAAAAATTTGATCAGGCCACAACCATGTACTCCAACTTTGAGTTGCACCCCAGTTATATCCATCAACTCCAATCCAATCAACATAACTATCGCCAACCCAATAATTTTCAGCTGTATAACTGCCAACATCCGCATTATTAACACACCACATCCATTGAAGTCTTGTCGAATCTAAACTTTTGTTTGAAAATATATCATGAATATGATGCCATGCTAAAATATAATCTTGCGGAGTTGAATTTCCCATTGCTGCTGACCATGGATACCAATTTCCGTTCATTTCATGAGCTAAATATAGACAATATATTGATTTCATTTAAGCATAATTTTTCAGTATCATCAATAGAAAGAAAATAAGAGCATGATTTTTCAAGACTAGGTATTAGCTACGGTTGATATATTCTTTTCCTCAGTAAATAGCACCTATGATGTTATGTGACGAGAATGAAGAAAGGTATTTTTTGTGCAACATATCTAAAGAAACTATCTTCGCTTGTTTGTGACACAAATGAGCGGGGGAAAGCATCATGTTACCAATGACGCCGATGGGTAACAGTGCACCTTCTATCGGTAAATAAAATGTCCCTTTATTAGAGGCATTAGACGGTAGATTGATTAGCAGCGATTACCCGAAATTTTTTTGCGATACAAGAACCAATCTATCGAATTCCTGCATTCTCGAATTTAGTAAATTTAGAATAGTAGAACATCTGTTATGCGTTAAGACTTGATATGGAATTCTAGAACAGTTGCTATAGTTTGAAAGTCAGTTATATGCGAGAATTTCAAGATATTTTCTGTCAATGATGGAGACCTGTGCAAACAAAATTGGTGGCTAACATCTCTACCACTAATATCTATCATTTCACAATATTAAAATAAAACCAAATTAACGAAAGCGTGAAGAATACTATGGGCTTTCTAGCTAAATAGCTTTTAAAATGTTTTGGAGAGCGCCAAAATTCCCATCTTCTCCTACGGGAATCTTTTATACAGATGAATATTTTGAGAATGCGGAAGGACAATGAATACAACATTTAGTTATGACAATGCGGACGCTGTTCAAAACAAACTTTGAATATATACTCTTTTAGAGCAGAATTTAGCAGACATAATGTTTCTAGAATAAGACTGAGTTCGTTTTGGATTTCGGTTGAAATACGGTGACTAATCTGCGTCGTGAAAAGAGCACATTTACTATTGGAACATCCTTTTTACTCCAAAGTTCTCACCTAGTCGAAGATATGCGCGTCGATCATCCGCATTTCCTAGAATCCCATCATTGCCGGCCAACCATATCTGTAACCTATCGCCAAATTCGTTTATATATGTATCATAGAAATTGTTACAAACTAATCTCATTATTCCTGGTTGACTGGTACCACCACATCCGTATAATTCCCATGTAATTAGTGGAATACTATTGTTATTCCATATATTGTTTAGTTGAGTATTGAACAAATCAATCATTGAACCGTTACACCAATCAGTAAAAAGAACTATTACTGTTGGTCGCTTGTTAGTCCACGATGAGAAATATTCGATTTCATCCATAGACCAACCTTGATTTCCATAAAAAACAGATGTCAATTTATAGTTAATCGTCCCATGTATGATAGCTATTTGAGTAACGAAAAATAGCAACAACAGCATTCTATTGGAAAACGAATGGTTTTGTGATCTAAAAAGTACAAACATAAATGACTTATAAACTATAACATATCGATCGAATATAGTAGACTGATCATAAAGAATGGTAACCTTAGCATATTTCTAAATAGCTTCTTCAACATTTGATTCTCAAAATAGAGGTCCAGATAAGATGAGCTAAAACCAGTCCAGTACAGTCGATGGACTGAATATTTTGAAAATCAAAATCATGGAATGAGCTAAATCAAAGCTTTTGTACGATGGTTGGTTATGGACCAAGACTCTTGATCCATGGGTATCCATCACAAAAAAGAGATTTTTTGGATAAATGTTGTACATAGGGCTCACACTTTACGTTCTCAGCTTCTCTCACAAATATTTCATTTTAGACACTTCCATTCGAGAGTGCAATGAATGAAAATGTATTGATTGTATTGATTTCTGGCGTAAAGATATTGGCGGGGTTTACCCCCGGTTTGTCCCAAATTCGTCTCTTACCCAACTTGTCAAGGAGAAAACACGTACTCCCGTACTCCCGTACTCCCATCGTACTCCCGTACTCCCGTACTCCCATCGTACTCCCGTACTCCCGTACTCCCATCGTACTCCCGTACTCCCGTACTCCCATCGTACTCCCGTACTCCCGTACTCCGTGTACTCTACTGTACTCCCGTAGTCCCATTGTACCTCCTGGACTCCGGGAGTACATCGGAGTACAAGGAGTTTGTGAGATACAATTCTTATGTAGGAGACAGTATCACAGGCACCTTCGTCAACCACTTTAAATATTCCTATTTCTTCTTGAATGGGATACTCATAAGATCTCATGGCCTATGCTTTGGGGGTACTCATAAGACCTCATGGCATATGCTTTGGGGGTACTCATAAGACCTCATGGCCTATGCTTTGGGGGTACTCATAAGTTACCAAGGGCTATTGATGTTTGGTATTGTTAAATNGAAAAAAATTATTAAATAGAGTATAAAGCGAATTTTTTTCTAGTTGTTGAGTACAATTTGATCACACATAAAATTTAAAAAAATTTATTAAAAATATTTTCTAAACTTCAAACACTAAATAAAAATGAATACCATCACCTCGAGTAAAAAATCTGAATTAGTTCATGGAATAGAAGTCACTGAGAAAAACTAGTTCTAGAAAGAATGAAATATTGAATATTTTCAAGAAACAAAATAGACTTATTTTTGCACTTCTAAAATATATATTATAATAAAACTACGAAAGAAATAAATACAACTCGAGCTATTGGTCACTTGTGATAACAATGGATTACGAGAAAGAGAACGTTAAGACGCTTTCCTGTCTTTTCATTCATGTCTAAAAACAAGACACTATACGTGTCTAGTACGCGTCTAAACTAGACTTAAGACGGGTGAACCGTCTCGTAAGACACATGGCATTTTTTACAGTGTACAACTTGAGAGCAATGGCCATTCATCTGGGGTAATTACCTTCGTTACTAAGAAAATATCCTTCTCAGTGATATGATTTAGCAAAAAATACTTTTCCGAGAGAAGCCAACATTCTACACTTGGTCCTTATCTTGTTCTAATCTGGAATAAATTGAAATCTTTTCCATTTATTCATAGAAAAAAACACTAAGCTAGATGTCACCACTAAGAAGTGCATCTGCTATTAATTGGACGAAAGAAACTTTTTTAAAATCCTCTGACAGCATAAGATACATGTACAGTAGAATGAATAACATTCTGTTTCACTAACTTTCTTCTCATTGGTGCCTTTATATTACCGCTTCTTTGATTTGCTTCCAAATCAAAGCCCATTATCAACAAACGAAATGAATTATATGAAATGATTTAATTAAAGAACGATTTTACTATATTTTATTTCATAGTTTTTTTATGTTGAATAGGGTAAAATTAGAATAGTGATTTTCATTCTTATGCGTATCTGTAAATAACATGACTTACTGTTCAAACACAGTGACTTTTATTCTATTATAACAAGGAAAGTTAACTGTTTTTATTGATTATTACGTCTTAAAATTAAATAAAACGATCACTACAACAAAATACTATCGGCGTAAGCATCGTGAATGTGATATCACGATGCATACGAATATAAATGATGTTGCTTTAAAAACTCAAGGTGATGATTGTCATGTAATTGAAGCAGAAAAATGATTGACTATTTTTATTTGCTGCTTGGACACTTTGTTAATTTATTTGTAATGTCAATTACAATATGAATGATTCCGCTCTCCTATTTTGTTATTCAACAACTTTTTATCGTTGGTGAAAATGTTCATGTTAATGATTTTTTATTCTCTAAACATTTCTCTTTCGACATTGTTCTTGCAAGATTATTTTTTCGTTCTTTTTCTCTTCGCTCTTTTCCACCATATTGCCACCCAAATCCATACCCTTTTTCTTTTAAACGTGTATGTAAAAAGAGATAAGTTTAAGACTGTAATCGAGTAAAACAAATAATGAATATTTTGATTTGAACAATATTTTTCTAAAATTACATATTTTGAAGAAACATCGGCCAAATTAGATAAATTCTATATATGCTACTAAAAAGCGAATGTCTTGAAACTTATAAAATAATGTTACTTTGGAATTATTTTTTTTTAATTTAGAAAAGTTAGAAAATTCTTTATTGAATACCAACAAAGGCTTGCTTTAAGGAACATATCCAAATCTTAATTTGAGTAATATAGAATTTCGAATTCTATTACGAAAGTTATATTTACATATAACAACCGGATGGTTATTGAATTATGTCAACAAATTTTTCATCGTTTTATCGTTTCTTTTATTAGTTAAACTTTCTATCTTTTCTATTTTACTACTTTTCAACAGAAATTCTTCATAAAGTTTTCATTATAATCTAAAATTTGCCCGTGGTTTCGAAAACTATTCTGCACATTTCCTTTTTCTTTAACAAGAAAGTATACTTCAATCAATCGTTGATATATGTACGTACTGAAGTCGTTTCATGGTAGTTTTCTTAAACACACTTCACACAATAGAGTCAGTTCATAAATTCTCAATCTTTCATATGAATAATTAAGAATAATTGTAACAAAATGAGTTGCCTATTCTTTTCTGCGCTTATCTCTGATCTGTCATCAAGTCAGCGGCATTGCACATTTTTTCATACAGAATGATTTATCGACGGATGTCTTCAGTATGATGTCAATGTATTCAAAAAGTCTTCTTTGTATCGATCGTCAATAAACTGAAATATCGAATTTCTAGCAAGACGAATATTTATTTATGTTAAATGGATGAAATTGAATCAATCAATGCTAGTTATGCATGCAATTAGCTAAGTAAATCAAAATTTATGAGTTCACGAGTATTTAATTTTACTCGATAAGATCAACAGACACCAGATTTCGTCGTTCCTCTTCTGCAACCGAACGAGGAAAACCGATTGGTCGAATAATCGAGACACGAGCTTTTTTACCATTCGAGATTTTGACCTGAATCGAGATAGCTACTTTTTTTCCAAGAATGCATCATGTCATAGAAGAAAGTACCTGAAATACATAACGAGTGCCTGTAACCACTTGAGTAGCTACGTTGATCGGTTCAATTTGTAAGTTACCCACTTTCGATTGATCAGGAAATAATTCACGTACTTTACTGTCGATGATTGGCCGAAACTAGGAACAAT